AGGGGTATGCCAGAATGGGGGGTGGAACTGCATGCGGGCGCAGCCACTGGGGCCTTCGTAGAGCTCCGTGGGGTGTGCCAGAATGGGGGGTGGAACCGCGTGCGGGCGCAGCCACTGGGGCCTTCGGTGGAGCTCCCTATTGGGCCACGAAACGTGTGAATGGTGTGCCAGAATGGGGGGTGGAACCGCATGCGGGCGCAGCCACTGGGGCCTTCGGTGGAGCTCCCTATGGGGCCACGAAACGTGTGAGGGGTGTGCCAGAATGGGGGGTGAACCGCATGCGGGCGCAGCCACTGGGGCCTTCGGTGGAGCTCCTTATGGGGCCACAAAACGTGTGAGGGGTGTGCCAGAATGGGGGGTGGAACCGCATGCGGGCGCAACCACTGGGGCCTTCGGTGGAGCTCCCTATGGGGCCACGAAACGTGTGAGGGGTGTGCCAGAATGGAGGGTGGAACCGCATGCGGGCGCAGCCACTGGGGCCTTCGGTGGAGCTCCCTATGGGGCCACGAAACGTGTGAGGGGTGTGCCAGAATGGGGGGTGGAACCGCATGCGGGCGCAGCCCCTGGGGCCTTCGGTGGAGCTCCCTATGGGGCCACGAAACGTGTGAGGGGTGTGCCAGAATGGGGGGTGGAACCGCATGCGGGCGCAGCAACTGGGGCCTTCGGTGGAGCTCCCTATGGGGCCACGAAACGTGTGAGGGGTGTGCCAGAATGGGGGGGTGGAACCGCGAGGCGGACGCAGCCACTGGGCCTTCGGTGGAGCTCCCTTATGGGGCACGAAAACGTGTGAAGGGGTCTTGTGCCTGAATTGGGGGGTGGTCCCGCGATGCGGCGCGCAGTCCACTGGGGGCATTCGGTGGAACTCCTATGGGGCCACGAAGCGTGTGAGGGGTGTGCCAGACTGGGGGGTGGAACCGCATGCGGGCGCAGCCACTGGGGCCTTCGGTGGAGCTCCCTATGGGGCCACGAAACGTGTGAGGGGTGTGCCAGAATGGGGAGTGGAACCGCATGCGGGCGCAGCCACTGGGGCCTTCGGTGGAGCTCCCTATGGGGCCACGAAACGTGTGAGGGGTGTGCCAGAATGGGGGGTGGAACCGCATGCGGGCGCAGCCACTGGGGCCTTTCGGTGGAGCTCCCTATGAAGCCACGAAACGTGTGAGGGGTGTGCCAGAATGGGGGGTGGAACCGCATGCGGGCGACAGCCACTGGGGCCTCGGTGGAAGTCCCTATGGGCCACGAAAACGTTGTGAGGTTTCGGAGGGCAGTGTGCCGAAATGGGGGGTGGAACCGCATGCGGGGCAGCCACTGGGGCCTTCGGTTGGGAGCTCTTCTGGGCCACGAAACGTGTGAGGGGTGTGCCAGAAGGGAGGGGGAGGAGGGAGGAGGAAGGAGAGGAGGAGGAAGGAGGAAGGAGGAAGGAGGAAGGAGGAAGGAGGAAGGACGAAGGAACGCGGGGACCGTCTCTTCAAAACGAGGACCCAACAACACAGGTTGGTTGGGAAAAACAAAAATTGGTCCACGGACTATTCTTGACTATGTTTGAAAGTAGGCGCGAGGCACGCATCGCGCCCAGGGGGGCGAAAAAATAAATATCCCGGCAAAGCAACCTAACAGCAATGTGTAGGAGCATATCTGGAAGCACTCCCCTTAAGGTTCAGATGAGAATCCAGTTGTAGAATTCTGCTGTTCTCGCAGTCGTAGTCGCATTCGCGATGACAGTCGCAGTGGCCTGCATCAGCCTCAGCCTCAGCCTCAGCCTGCCTCAGCATCAGCCTCAGCCTCAGCCTCAGCCTCAGCCTCAGCCTCAGCCTGCCTCAGCCTCAGCCTCAGCCTGCTTCAGCCTCAGCCTCAGTCTGCCTGCAGCCTCAGCCTCAGCCTCAGCCTGCCTCAGCCTCAGCCTGCATCAGCCTCAGCCTCAGCCTCAGCCTGCCTCAGCCTCAGCCTGCCTCAGCCTCAGCCTCAGCCTGCCTCAGCCTCAGCCTGCCTCAGCCTCAGCCTCAGCCTGCTTCAGCCTCAGCCTCAGTCTGCCTTCAGCCTCCGCCTCAGCCTCAGCCTGCCTCAGCCTCAGCCTGCATCAGCCTCAGCCTCAGCCTCAGCCTGCCTCAGCATCAGCCTGCCTCAGCCTCAGCCTGCCTCTGCCTCAGCCTCAGCCTGCTTCAGCCTCAGCCTCAGTCTGCCTTCAGCCTCGGCCTCAGCCTCAGCCTACCTCAGCCTCAGCCTGCATCAGCCTCAGCCTCAGCCTCAGCCTGCCTCAGCATCAGCCTGCCTCAGCCTCAGCCTCAGCCTGCCTCAGCCTCAGCCTGCTTCAGCCTCAGCCTCAGCCTCAGTCTGCCTTCAGCCTCGGCCTCAGCCTCAGCCTGCCTCAGCCTCAGCCTGCATCAGCCTCAGCCTCAGCCTCAGCCTCAGCCTGCCTCCGCATCAGCCTGCCTCAGCCTCAGCCTCAGCCTGCCTCAGCCTCAGCCTCAGCCTGCTTCAGCCTCAGCCTCAGTCTGCCTTCAGCCTCGGCCTCAGCCTCAGCCTGCCTCAGCCTCAGCCTGCATCAGCCTCAGCCTCAGCCTCAGCCTCAGCATGCCTCAGCATCAGCCTGCCTCAGCCTCAGCCTCAGCCTGCCTCAGCCTCAGCCTCAGCCTGCTTCAGCCTCAGCCTCAGTCTGCCTTCAGCCTCGGCGTCAGCCTCAGGCTGCCTCAGCCTCTGCCTGCATCAGCCTCAGCCTCAGCCTCAGCCTGCCTCAGCATCAGCCTGCCTCAGCCTCAGCCTCAGCCTGCCTCAGCCTCAGCCTCAGCCTGCTTCAGCCTCAGCCTCAGTCTGCCTTCAGCCTCGGCCTCAGCCTCAGCCTGCCTCAGCCTCAGCCTGCATCAGCCTCAGCCTCAGCCTCAGCCTGCCTCAGCATCAGCCCGCCTCAGCCTCAGCCTGCCTCTGCCTCAGCCTCAGCCTGCTTCAGCCTCAGCCTCAGTCTGCCTTCAGCCTCGGCCTCAGCCTCAGCCTGCCTCAGCCTCAGCATCAGCCTGCCTCAGCATTCAAAATGTGGCCCGGGAATGAAATTCTGGGAGCTCGAAGAACACGAAGTGGCCTACAGTTTGCTCCGGGCATTCAGAATTTGGCCCGGGAATGGAGTTCTGGGACCTCGAAGACCACGAAGTGTGTAACTGTTTGCTTAAAACGACTTCCGCGGTTTCTTCCCGGATCCTGCCCGGACTCCCCTGGGGAGTCAAGATGCTCTCTTGTGACCCCACTAGAAACTAGAAAACTATCAGTCTTCGCTGCTAGGTAAAAATGTTCATGAAATACACCCACATGGACAAACAAAAAATCCAAAAATTGTCCACGGACTATTCTTGACGATTTTTGAAAGCAGGCGCGAGGCACGCCCCGCGCCCAGGGGTCGCGCGGCCACTCGCGGCGAGGGGGGCCCCGCCCCGCGCCGGGCGGCGTATACACAGCGCCCCAGGCCCGCCGCCGCCCGCAGTGCGCCCCAGGCCCCGCGGGAGGAGGGGCGTCGGCGCGGCCACCGAGGGGGAGGGCTCCCCGGAGCAGCCCCTCGGAGGAGCGGGCTTCTGAGTTCGTGCAGATCGATGTCACGGAGGTCCGATCCCGTCACTTCTCTACTCGCATTCCCCCACCGGGTCAAACTCAGGAGGGTGAAACGCAGCAAGCATGGGCAGCAGGGCTCCGGAGCAGCCCCTCGGAGTGTGGGCGACGTCTTCCAGGAGGCTGCGATTGGGGCGCTGGCTCCGAGGATGAGCGGCGCAGGGGGGCGACCGAAGTGTAATGCGGGATGACGGTTCATTAAAAAATGGGAGAGAACGACTTAAAAAAAACAGTTGTCTGCTACTTCTGCACAGTTTTCGGACTGGAGGAGAACGATGAAAAACATCTTTCCAGCCCGCGGCCAGTGTTTTCCAATCGTCATCCCGGGCGCCGCCGCGTGAACACGACCCCCGGTCATTTATTAATCGTCATCCTCCATTAGGCGCCGTCTTCCGGGAGGTTGCGATTGGGGCGCTGGCTCCGAGGATGAGCGGCGCAGGGGGCGACCTCGCAGTGAGGGCTTGGGCCCTGCAGGGGGGCGGGGTCGCAGTATGGGTCGGGCCTGTCCCCCGACAGGGCGAGTTTGGGCAGAAAAAAATGTTCCAAAAATATTCCCAAATGGCAAAAAACAAATCATCAAAAACCCCAGACTATTTTAAAAACTATTTTTGTATATCCCTCCTGTAGAGGGACAGGCCCGACTTAATCGTATTCTCCACCGGGAGCGGCGGCTTCTGAGGCAGCGCCGGCCACTGCACAGGGAAACCTCCCCAGAGCGCACGGGAGATCCAGCGGCGGCGTCGTCAGTGGGACGGGGGGTCGGGGTTGTGGCAGCGAGAGGCTGGGCTTACGTCGGGCATGTCCTCCTGCGTACAGGCGGGCTTTCGAGGGAAAATTAAAAACATAGCCAAAAACACACACACACACACACACACAAACAAACAGCCAAAAATAGTCGAAGGATCGTCCCCAGACTATGTTTTGCCGGTTCTGAAGTACTCCCCCTGCAGAGGGGACACGCCCGACTTCCGGCCTGACAGCGGGCGCCGGGGTGAGAGCCGAGGGGCGCGCCGAGCCGTGGCGCTCCTCCTGCGTGCGAGGAGCAGCGGACGCGCCTGCCGGCGGGCGGCGAAGGGGTGGGCCGTGCGGGTGGCGCGAAGGCCCGCCCGGGGGAGGGGGGCGCCCGGGGGGGCAGGGCGGGCGGCGGCAGCCAGCGCGGACCCGAGAGGGCGGGCCGAAGAGGCGCTCCCAGCGCTCCAACGCGGGGGCACGGTGCACGATCGGCGGGGGCGTCGGGGGCCGCGTCGTCGCTGCGGTCGGCTCCCAAGGCGGGACAGGGGGTGGGAGGGGGGAGGAGCGCGGGGGCGAGCCCACGCGCGTTTCGCCCAGGCCCAAGAGTCCGCAGCGGACGGATCGCGGCCGGGCGCAGCTGGTAGGCGCCGGGCCCGCGGGCCGGTCTGGGGCGGGGGGGCCTTCCCTGGGAGGCAAAGGTGGCAGGGAGGTCTTCGAGAGCACGGGGAGCAGCGCCGGGACGCGGGAGTCAACCAGGCGACGGAACGGCGCCAGGAGCGTCGTCGGAGTCGGCGTCGGGGGCACCCTGTAGAGGGCGGGGAGCGTCGTCGAAGGCAGCGCCTGGAGCGTCGTC